CCTCTGATATAAAGCAGTAACTTGGTGATATTCATCTCGTACTTTAACCATGCTTAAATTACATAGTTTACAAAACTTTAATTAGTAAACATTTACTGACATTATCTTTAACACCTACAATATTCAATGTTTTCATATGAAAACATGATAACCCTGTTAGAGAAAATATTTTTTTCCCCTCCTACCTTTTAATTTTTTATTACAATGCTATAATGAAGTAGGGAATAAACTTTGGGTATTGTCTAACTGGTATCATGGTCAAACAAGCATTGAACTTTGGTCCCAAATTTGACCTCCTGAATATGAAAAGCTACTTCCACCAACTACATAAATTGTTTTGTCAACAATTCTTACCATCCTGTTTCTAACACTAGCTTTTTGTATTCATACTGGCAGTGAAACAATATTACAGAAGATGTGCAATAAAAATCGACCTCTCAGAGGTCAAAGGTTAGGATATAAATATCAAGCTTTTAAGATTAGCTGTTTAAACATTGAATTGATAGCTTAAGTAAAATTGTATCAGATCAGATAAAACAAACACATTTAATAAATTGATAATCACTGCCAAATGAGTTTTTTGTTGTTTTATTGGGATCACCTCAGGTGCCCCTTCTTGAATTAATATCACCTCAGGTGCCCCTTCTTGAATAAATATCACCTCAGGTGCCCCTTCTTGAATTAGGATCACCTCAGGTGCCCCTTCTTGAATTAGGATCACCTCAGATGGCACTCCTTGAATTAATATCACCTCAGGTGCCCCTTCTAAACAGAATCCATAAGCACTTATTCATGACTATCTTAAACACAATCATGGTTACTGGCTTAAATAAGAACCATGATTTTACATAGCAACAAGCCATGGCAACATCCCTGTACAATATTTCTCTTAATCATTGTTTTCTCAAATGTATACATTTCTCTCTATATAATACACTACTCCCATTTGGCACTTTAAAAAATAGAATCCTAAAAACTACATTCATTTACAAACTACTATTATATTGATGCACAGCACCCTTCATTTCAACAACAATTCCCAAAAGATTTCATTATAATCAAGTACAAATATCTATCAATTAACATGTGAACCCTGTGAAATCTTCCCATATTGCATACATGTACATTTTTGGAGAAAATTCTATATTCACTGAAAATGCACAAAAAAAACAATACATTTTTTTTCACCATTCTTTAGCAAATTAGGTAGTTAGGCTAATATAAAGCAACACTGTACAATATTTATTAAGATACAAACTTTATATCTCACTGGTGAAATATGATATATATCACTTACTGTGTGCAATTTAATGCAATTTTTAAATTGCTCATTATCACATATCTTATTACATATACTTGCCATTTTTACTTTTTGTTTTATTATACTAAATGTCAATAATTGAAATATCAAAATATACCAGTGAAATAAAATATATATCAGTAAGTGCCTGCAATTTTAAGAAAAATATTGCTTATTAGAAAAAATTTAAAAAAACACAATTTTTACGTTTTTTTTTTTAATAAACAAAACAGGTTTCTTTAAAATAAAATTTCCCAAAATACCCTATTTAAAGATATAAATTTTATACCCAAATTTTTAAAGGGGGGTTTATTACTAATCTATAACAAAGATTTAAACTCTTAAAATATCCCAAAGGCTCACCCTTTGAGAAAAAACTTTTTTTAACCCCAAACAGATTTTTTTTGAAACCCTATGAAATTCAAACGAATATGTTTTTCCCTTTGAAAAAAAAAATAAAAAAAAAAACCAAATTTTTTGGGGAAGCTGTTTTTTCTTTAAAGGGAGTAAAGTTAAGTCGGTCCTTCTTTAAAAAAAAAAACATCCATTTTTTTTTAAATAAAACTTTATTTTCCCTATTGTGAAGCCATAAGTATAAATTTTTTAAAAAATTAACGCTTTTTTGTAAAGGGTCAAATTTTACGTTTATTTTATATTTACAAAGAGACTAGGTAGCAATTATCAATATTTTCAAATACATGTATTAAATTTGAGCGTAGTATATCTTTTAAAGAGTATAATAATATTAGACTGTCTTCAGCTGGTAGTATATTTATCATATTTGTATCTTAATAAATATCATACGTTATCAAATTCAGAATGAAATTTCATATATTCATTAGAAAAAAAAAGAAAATAAGAGAGCATCAAAAAGTTTTTGTTTTTTTTTAATTCTGACAGGACAAAACAATAACTGAATCACAGACAATATCTAACTTAAAGCACCATTCTCAAAACAATAACTAGGTCAATATTTCTCATATTTACCTGCCCAGATATCTCTTGTTCTATAATTAAACTTGCCTAAAGGTAAATCAATAATGATATAATCAATATGTACTAACATTTTTACCAGTAAATTAAAAATAGTTTTTGCAAGTAAAATCTAAAGATTTTTTAGATTTTACTTATTGACATACTTTTCGTAAATTTGAGACAATTGTGATTTTCTTGTGCCAATTTAATTACTTTGGAGTCAATTTGCTCATTGGCTTAAGGACACATTTGTAGAAAAACCACAATATGTATAACACTGGTGCAAAAATACCCTTCATTCATGTGACCCGATAGCGAGTTGTGACCTTGTTGGTAAGGTTTTCAACATCTCAATCAATGGAAACATGGCTTCGAGATCTACCCTGGTCACAACAATGTATATTTGATTGAAACCAGTACTGGCCGGTACCATGAAATTGACTTGAAAAGTGATTAATAAAATTTTTTTGTAAGAACTTGTTTCAAAATCAAAAAAACTTAAATGAATGTCTATCACCAAACAAAGGCCACTTTGAATAAGTCGTAAATAAATAGGTTTAAATTTACAATCTTTGACCAAATTTCCACGGCAGGTTATACTTAACTAACAAAACAAATAATCATAACAATATAACAATATATTGAGATTCCATTTCAAAATTTTACTGGGTACAACTACTGTTCAATATCATGATTAAAAACAAGAAAACAAAACAAAAATAATTCAAAAACTCAAGAGAGAAACATTCTGCAAAATTAACGGAAACAACATTAACCTGTCCTTCAGGCTTGAATTTATTTATCTAAGTTTTTAAGACATAATTTCAGTGTTGCAATGTTACATTTATGAAAAAGCCAACTGAAACTTGGCCGTTAACTATTGGGGAATAGCCCCTAGGTGTATCTCCAAAGCCCCCTAGTAAATGGCCCATCCCTGTGGGGACAACCATAGGGTAATATTTAATCTAAATGTCATATGATTAATATTCATAAAGTGAAATGATGAATATTCAAATAGTGAAATCATAAATATTCATTAGGGACTTCTTTTTATGTGTTTTGTAACTGAACACATCAACAAAATTAAAACTGAATAAACTGTTTAATTTGAGGCAAAAAAGAAGGCTAACAAATTCTTCAACAATATCTTAAAGGAACTCCACTCTAAAAGCCTACAAAATTTTAATTTCTTACATAGATCAGATTGGTCGCTTAAAACAGAAATATATGCAAAAGATAATTTAATAAAAATCTCAGAAAAAAATTGAAAATCATATTTTTGTGCTATTTTTTCCGAACGATTTGAGTTGAATGTTCAATTTGGAGTCAGCTTTCACAATAAGAATGATCATTCTGGATAACAGAGTGTGTGAATGATCTGCAATGTCTAGACCCTCATCAAATGGAACATTAATCTAGAAAGATTATTCCCAGTCCCAGTCCCATCATGTAAAAAAACCTCACTGGAGTCCCTTTAATCAAAAGTCTATAAATTTACCATGGCAATATGATTATTTCAAATACGTTTAAATGAACCTAACTATTGCTAATTGGAAAGAAATTAGAGAAAAGATGCCTTCCAATGAAATAATTTATACAGTGCTGTTTTAAACAATAAAATACTGACCAATCAAAATAGGAGCCAAAAACAAATTTAAAAAAAAAACAACAATTAATTCTTAAAACTGAAAACTGACATTCCTTTATCATACCACACAAGACAATTGCAGAAATTAGTAAACGACCCTTTTATTCAGAAATTTTTTGCATAAACATTTAATGAGACCTTAGTGTTGAAATTTCTTTTGTACATCTTTTGCAGATTTATTTGAGAAGTTTTCATATGTGTAAATGCCAGTTTTTTACTTTATATAAAATAGTACAGATTTTTTATCAAGTGTTGGATTCCATGTAACAGAAATGTGTATTATTTGTAATAAAGGAAAGCTGAAAAATTTAGAATTCACCAATGATTATGATCATCTTCTGAATAGATGGGTTGAGAACATGCATATGATTACTGATTTTTTTTACACCCGGTAAAAATGTATGAATTAGCAAAATGAGGCAGCAATTATCTTGTATGAAAAAACAACAACAACAAAACAAACACTTAAAGTGACATTATGCCCATCGAAGTGTAAATGACAAGTGTTCCAGTTAAAAATAACCAATATTATTTGTCCTCAATTTCATATTCTACTAAACAAGAAAAAGTCTTGGAAAATTATACAAGTATAATCAAGTATCCATGTGACTAATGGAAAATTCTATAAATATCCCCAGGCTTGTTTGTTAACATTCAATTAATCAAAAGAGTGGGGCAGTCCTTTTTTTCTTTTTGGCAGTTTTCATATTTTATCCTTAACAATTTGCTTATTGGTAAATGACCAGTATAATAAATAGTCAATCTGTTGAAAAATATAGCTTATCTACCTCACCTAGACAGATGAAAAAATGAGCATAATATCACTTTAAATATACACATGTCAATCTCTCTAGCTTTATTAAAAAGTTTCATACAGATATTCATTCAAACTTGTTACCTGCTTAATAAATAAACTAAATGCCTTCTAAAAATGTTTAGTCCCTTAATCTAAATACTGACCAAGGTCATGTGACCCATCTCTGACTGTCCTTGACCTTTGACCTTTCTTGCAATAAATTTTTCATAGTATGAATTCTAATTTCCAATATTATTCATTACAAAACAAACCCGAAACAATTTAAAACAAGATATGTTTGTAAAACATGTATGCCCCCTATCAGCAGCCAATAAGTCATGTGATAAGGTTATTATGCATGACTTCTGACCCAGTGATCAAACAATTAATAAGGGTTATCAAGTATAACTGGTCATGACCTTAACCTTTGACCCCTTAACCCCAAAATCCAATAGGGGTCATCTGATGGTCACGACCAATCATCATACAAAGTTTGAAGTTCCTAGGCCTAAGTTTTTTAAGTTAATTGATCGGAAACTGTTTTAACATACAAGGCCAATGTGACCTTGACCTTTGACCCCTTGACCCCAAAATCAATAGGTCATCTGCTGGTCATGACCAATAACCATACCATGTTTGAAGTTCCAAGGCCAAAGGGTTCTTAAGTTATTGATTTGAAAGCATTTTTACCTACAAGGTCAATGTGACCTTGCCCTTTGACCCTTAACCTCAATATCAAAGGGGTCATCTACTGACCAATCATCATACCAAGTTTGAAGTTCCTAGGCCTAAGGGTTCTTTAGTTATTGATCGGAAATCGTTTTTACCTAAGAGGTCAATGTGACCTTGACCTTTGACCCCTTGACCCCAAAATCAATAGGGGTCATCTACTGATCATGACCAATCACAATATCAAGTTTGAAGTCCCTAGGCCTAAGGGTTCATTCGTAATTGATCGGAAACCGTTTTTACCTACAAAGTCAATATGACCTTGACCTTTGACCCATTAACCCAAAAATCAATAGGGGTCATCTGCTGGTCATGACCAATCACCATACTAAGTTTGAAGTTCCTAGGCCTAAGGGTTCTTTGGTTCTTTTGTTATTGATCGGAAATCGTTTTTACCAAAGAGGTCAATGTGACCTTGACCTTTGACCCCTTGACCCCAAAATCAATAGGGGTCATCTACTGGTCATGACCAATCACCATACCAAGTTTGAAGTTCCTAGGCCTTAAGGTTCTTTAGTTATTGATCGGAAACCGTTTTTGCTTACAAGGTCAATGTGACCTTGACCTTTGACCCCAAAATCAATAGGGGTCATCTACTGGTCATGACCAATCACCATACCAAGTTTGAAGTTCCTAGGCCTTAAGGTTCTTTAGTTATTGATCGGAAACCGTTTTTGCTTACAAGGTCAATGTGACCTTGACCTTTGACCCCTTGACCCCAAAATCAATAGGGGTCATCTACTGGTCATGACCAATCACCATACCAAGTTTGAAGTTCCTAGGCCTTAAGGTTCTTTAGTTATTGATCGGAAACCGTTTTTGCTTACAAGGTCAATGTGACCTTGACCTTTGACCCCTTGACCCCAAAATCAATAGGGGTCATCTACTGGTCATGACCAATCACCATACCAAGTTTGAAGTTCCTAGGCCTTAAGGTTCTTTAGTTATTGATCGGAAACCGTTTTTGCTTACAAGGTCAATGTGACCTTGACCTTTGACCCCAAAATCAATAGGGGTCATCTACTGGTCATGACCAATCACCATACCAAGTTTGAAGTTCCTAGGCCTAAGGGTTCTTTAGTTATCACTCGGAAACCATTTGGTCTACGGACCGACGGACCGACGGACCGACAAGTGCAAAGCAATATACCCCCTTTTCTTCGAAATGGGGGCATAATCATATTCTTTGTACCTTTACAGCTTTATACATTAAGCGGCTTGCATCTATTTATAGAATCTATTTATAGAATTGATACATCTTAAACTAAAATTACAGCAGCATTTATATGTTTCCATGCAATCAAAGTCAGCCATGTTGGATCACATGACCCAGTCATGTGACACAGTCGTCATGACAATATAGCTATACTGGATCTGTGACTGTGTGTGACACCATCGAGACTGTTAGATCTAGCAAGTTTTGGCTTCGACAACATCTTGAAGTTATCTTCCCATGTTGAAGACATGGCCTGAAAAAAGCATATAACTTCTGATTAATCATAAAGCAAATATATACGATCCATGTCTAAAGAAACAAAATTTTGTCTGTGTCTATTTTTAACTTTTAACCTGATGAATTTCTGAAATGGACTTGTCCAGCGTGTATTTTTGGGAATGTCCATTACCAGTTTGGGGAGACAAAGATGTAATGCCAGTATTAAGTTATTCAACTGTCACAGCCAGGGTGAGAAAAATGTGCAGCCTACAGACTGAACTTTACTGCCACTTATCTCTAAATAGTGAACAGTTCTGAACCGTGACAAACAGTAAAGCGTCTAGTAAGACTGGACAAATGTTCAGACTTGCCTGGCTCTATACTGGTGGCAAAGGTTAATCACTTCTGATTCTAGCAGGTTAAGTGGTCCATGAAAAAAGGGCGGACTATACCAGTTTGATATAACAAATAGGGATGATAACATTTTGGTTTTCCTGGCATACAAGATGGGATATAAGACTCCCTCTAACAGTGCTATGTGTTTGCCATCAAGATGGGTCTACTTGTCACTGTAATATAATATCTGTTTAATAGTTAATACATTTTTCTTATTTCTGTAAATTTTATCATAATTTTTGTTTATTGGTGAAAAAAAACTAAACATCCTTTTCTTTTCTCTTACAGGGTTGCCAGCACTTTGGTGAAATAAAATTCCCTGACTTTTCCCTGACTTTTCACTGACCAATTCATGTTTTTCACTGACCAAAATCGTCAAACACATAAACGGCCTCCTGACCTCCCCTATAGCCGTCCAATCCTCCCATTATATTTTAGCATGTAAACTTGTATTTATTTTCCAAAATATAAAACATTTACATCAAAGTAATGATTCAAACATTGTGTTCTACTATTCTTAACTATTTCCATTCAAACACAGTGTGACTGTTGGTCAGTGAAACATATGACATGAAAATCAGAAGAATCATAATACAAGAGCTGTCGGTAGGACAGCAACGCTCAACTATTCTTAGTGCTTGATAGTAAACAAAAATGCATGATACAGTTACCTCCTCCTGTTTACAGGTTGGGGTAATGATGGTGAACAAGTGTGCAAAGTTTCAAAGCCATATGTCAATGAACTTTGATAATATTTGAGGTATTACAAAAACTTTAACATAAATTCAAAGTCGAAAAAGGGGCATAATTCTGTCAAAATGCTTGATAGAGTTACCTCCTCCTGTCTACAAGTTGGGGTCATGATGGTGAACAAATGTGCAAAGTTTCAAAGCCATATGTCAATGGACTTTGAAAATATTTGAACTATTACAAAAACTTTAACATAAGTGGTTACGTCGACGCAGACGCCGACGCTCGGGTGACTGCAATAGCTCTACTTATTCTTATCGAATAGTCAAGCTAATAAGCATCTGTATTAGAAACAACATAAGTCACTCTTTCCTTCCTAGTAGTAAAACATAAAACACCAAGACTATAAGAGTAATATGTGTATGACAAAACTTAAAATTCAAACATCTCTAAACTGTAAGAACAATAACCATTTAACACAGTTACGTGTATAAGGCATCATGATAAACTCCACTGATTGTGAAAACAAGAACATAGGGCTCATTTTGGCATATCATGAAATAATCACTATAAAATTAAAGACTTTGAATGAGTGAAGTAAGTTAGTGTGAAAAAAAGTTAGTGTGAAAAACATAGCATTGCATAATTTAACCAGTTTCCATCATGTTTGCAAGACAAATCCTCTTGTACAATTTCTTAGTGTCAAAGCAAAAAGCAAAACAGGTTATATGCCAATATGGTAGTTTGGTATACATGTATACTGACTAGATTTTGTTAGTAATTAAAAGCCCTTCTAGTGATATCATGCACAGAAATAGCTAGACCAATACAGAAGACAGTGTACTGACTAGATATTGCTAGTAAGTCTTTAGGCTGAATGATGTTCTAAGGTAAATAATGGGTATTATAATCACTAAGTTAACGTATAATGCTCCTTAATATCACAGTTTACTGTTATTTGAATTTAATGCTTAACTGTGAGAGTTACAAAGTCAAATATAAAATGCCTTAAGACTACCATAGCCAAGAAGACCTTCAATGCGTATATTTTCAACCTTTGAAATAATTTTTCCCTGACTTTTCACTGACTTTTCAGGATTTTCATTTTTCACTGACCAAATTTCAGAATTCCCTGACAATTCCCTGACCTTGAAAAAATACCCAATTTCCCTGACTTTTCAAGTCCGCTGGCAACCCTGTCTTAGCATCCTTTGTTTTTTTCTGCATAAAACATTGTTTATTTCATATTCTACATTGTGGAAAATGAGCTTCCAACTTCAATAGCGCGACCTTGATGGTCTTAGAAATACCCTATACTTATACCCTGTATAATACAATTAAGTTTTGGCTGTGAGAGGGCTTCAAATGTAATGTTGTTTGAAGATGACATCATTTCACCAGGATCACTACAAGAATCATTATTGTTGGTAGCAGCTAATACACAAACAGACAGACAGACAGACATTCCAAAAGATTTTTCAAAAGCACCTTTATTGCAATATTTGTAAATCTTTCTGGTAGATCAAAAAACTTCTAAACTGCATGTCTGTTAATGTTTCAAATTAATAACCATGAAATATTAAAAATTCTTTTATTTGCTTATTGATGGGACACTAACATATATCAGGAAGATATATGTAGTATCACATTGTCTGAAATTAGAAGAAATATAGAAAATTTTCCCCCATGCACCAAGAGATATAGCAAATTTAAGTGCATAACTAATAAATTCACATGACATCACATAAACTTCATATAAATTAGTGTCATTTTGACATGATATTCCATAATTTCTTGAAAGTATTAAAAGTTAAATACTAAACAATTAATACTGATTTCACAGACTGCCAGAAAAAAAGGAATATCTGGTACGAGGGTATATGTTGAACAGTTACCAGAGAGCTGAACATTCCCGGCTCTGACTACAGCCATTGCTTGATTCCTTTGAATGCATATATATAACATATTGAATAATATTTCAGAAACAGGGATCAAAGTTATATTTCAAAGCCATTCGTCCTACAGGACCAGTAGCTTCAAATTTCTACTTGTCCTGCCTGGTATGCTACTCTTCCTTCATTATGTGCATGATTTCAAGATAAAATTGCCTGATGCAATAAACTGCTAGAATTCTCATAATCAGTTTGTTTTCATTTAACAATGGAAATCCGAAAAACAAAGCTAGTGTTTTTTTTATTATGTTTTAGGCGAACTTTATGGAGCATTGCCAGGCAAAATTTAGTCACACCCGTATCCAATTAAAAATGCCTTCAGAGCTTTATTAAGAGCATGATTTTTACATAACTTCAATACATTACATGCTACTTGTCCTGCATCAATCTCTACTTGTAAATGCGAGCGGACGAGTAGAATTTTTGATCCCTGAGAAACAAATTAGGAAAAATTATTATTTTAGTTGGCATAAAAACCAAATATGGAAATCTGAATCATTTTACCTCTAATTTCATGGCGCGTTCTTTATCGAGGGGTTCTAGGGGAAAACTAAGGTCATTATCCCCGGCTAAAGCTCTCAGGTCAAAATAATACTTGGCGTATACTCCAGATGGCACGTTGATGTTAAACTGTAACATTTCTAAAAACTGGCGCTCTAGCTCGTTCCTGAAAGCAGATTAGAAATTATCATTCTAAACTATCAAACAGATTTATAACAATGTATAAAGAAAAAGACGTACAATATTGTCATGGGGTAAAAGGTTAACATCATAAATGTTCATTTCAAGTTTTGCCAACAATATTATCCACTATATACTGTAAACTTCACATATAGCGAACTTTCGGTTATAAGGAACACAATTTTTTGGCCCGAATTTTGTCCTACTTTATTTAATGTAAAAATATACGGTTACAGCTAACACGGTTATAAGGAATTATCGCTTATAAGGAACTCATTTTTTAGTCCCAATGCCATAAAAAGTACAGAAAATTACACTTTTATAACGAATATTGGCTATCCGTAAACAGATCACGCATTTTCTACATACTTCGTTTTCATTGGGCCAAATTAAAACTTGGCCAAATGTAGCAGATATATACGGAACAAGTAATGACGATGACAGTCAATCATCCGAAGACGAGATCTATTTAGATGACCTGCTGGTCGTGTCAAAAAATGAAGCTATTGATTGTTGGTCATACTTTGAGTCTAAAGAGACAGTTTTTAAAAGTTTATTGGAAATTGAATTTAACCTAAAGACTAAAAGAGTTGTAAACATTCCCAAACTAAAATTAGCGACATCTTCAAAGCAAAGTGATCGTTTTTGTGCATGATACTGTATTGTTAATAAATAACAATATTGCATATATGGTACATATCATATAATTATCTTATAGATATATTTAGACATAAGAATTATATTAAAAAGATACAACATTGCAATTATTCCTTTTTTTCTTTATTGAATCAATATAAGGGAGACAACAATGACGAACCGAAGAGTTATTTCTCTTAATCAAATGCTCTTCTAAATGGAGGACGATGGTAAACAATTAGTTCGTTATATGTAAAACTGTTCGCTTTAAAAACTTCTGATACAAGGAACTAATTCGCTATATGCTTACAAGGAACTCCGGATATAAGGAACAGATTTTTAAAGTCCCAATGAGTTCGTTATAAGCGGAGTTTACTGTATAATAAATGTGTATAAATTAAACAAAATATTTTACAAGTCACTTTAAATTATTTCATTTAAAAGATATTTAATTTTCTACCATTTCATATAACTTTTGAACTTTTCCTTGCTTTTTTTTGCATGGAACTTGATTTCATATTTTTTTTTATTAAAAAACATAAAATCAAATCAATTGATTCACATGTCAACCTGGAACAAACCATAATTCCTAACTAATTCTCCATTTGCTGTAAGCATAAGTACCATGTACACACAGACCCTAGTTTCTATTCTGCTTTTGTATAGATAAAAAAAACACCTACTTTGCTAAATACTAAATAACTAACATTAAAACTTACATATCTTCAACGGCAGTGTCTCGCAGAATTTGACAGTAATCTACGTTCCACACGGCCTGGTCATCCCATACTTTAGAAGCCAGTAATATAGCACCAAGAACTATTCTCTTCCAGTTACATGGAGCTATATCTATCTCTCCATATGTTAACAGTCTCTCTAAATATACCTGAAATTAACCCAAAGAATTCTTATTCTCTTAATACACTTGAAATTAACCCAAAGATTCTTATTCTCTTAATACACTTGAAATTAACCCAAAGAATTTTTATTCTCATACTATACCTGAAATTAACCCAATTATTTCTTATTAACAATACTCTTTAGACAGGTCGAATAAAAACACATTTTTCAAAAGTCTTAAAATTGCAATCTTTCCGTAAGAATATTGTTGAGATTCACTTTTCAAGATGTGGTAATAATTTGATTTTTTTTCAAATTAATCAAACTTACGAACTACACAATCTACACATTTAGTTTACATGTAGTTTATATAAATCTATTTTTGTTCGATTGTGTTGGAAGCTTTAAGCTTATTGAAACACTCTCAAATCCGTTCCTTGAACCAACCAGTACTAAGCAATGTTGCTCAAGGAAACAACAGCTTACACAGGGTTTGAACCCATGTCGAAAGCAATCCTGTTTTCTAGTTGATTACTAATCTACAAATTGAACCAATATGTACAACCTAATGAATACTTTGCTGTAATTTTGCAATAAACTTGTCATTCTCTAAAATTGAGACTGTCCACTCGTATTGTGTACAGAGAATTGGATTATCGAAATATTTAACCATGTAACAATTTTGTGCATGCGCTATTCACACTTGAGAAAAACGAATATACAGGGCTTGAGCTAGGGGGCAACTTGGGCGAAGAAGTCGTCTTCGGATCAGTGACTTCGCCTAAAACAAACTTCAAAGCAATTTTGAAGTCGCCCGATTTTTTAACGATCTGTCATACCTATTTACGACACTAGGTCACACATTAGAATACTGCGGTTGTTTTGTTGACAATTACACAAAATGCAAATTGCATGATTAAAGACACCTGCATATACATAATTGTTGATAATTGTTGCAGTGTTTTGGCAAGTAAAGATAAACAATAAACAATCTTATAGGTGTTAACTTGACTGTTAAAAACTTTTGGAGCACTAATCTGTAGAAATTATGTGAAGTTTTGTATCTAATATTTTTTTAATACATTGAACTCTGTAAAGTAAACACACTGATTATACAAAATTAAATGTCTCTTACATTCTGGCTTGTAGGCAAAACGGTAAACTAAAATTATAGACGATGACCAGTCTGACTCATTGACAATATGGCAAGTGGCACTGCTCTATCTGCCCTGAATATTGTTACGTACTATTTCTACATGTATACAGTATATGTAAATATTGTGTTTGCTATTGGTATACATTTATGAAAAGTAGATTTATAGTAGAATTGTTTTATTTGATAGGTGTTTCATATTTCTTTCTGGTTTGTAAAGTTTCCTTGCTTATAATTCTCCAGTAACGCCTAATAGGTCTCCCAGTTTCTCCCTAAAATTTTGACCTAGCTCAAGCCCTGATATATATCTTTTTCATAAACGTATTTTGGACATACACTTTTTCAAAAGTCAAACAATAACTCTGTAAACTAAAGGCAGCAGATGTATAGATTTATACACTTTAAACTTACCAAAGTAACTATTGCACATTCCGCCGTAAGTTGGGCAGCATTAAATAAGTTTCGCACAAATCTATAAATAACCCTGTGTTCTGGATCCCTCTTATCATAATCTTCAGATACTTGTTCCCGCTGTAAAAGAAACCACATTATGCATTCATTGAACTGTTTATTTACAAACACTTACATTATTGCCCTATATTTAGTTAGAACTTGAGGGACAACATCATTTGAACATTGTTTCTTCTTGTCACACAACCTGTAATTCTAACTAAATCATTTTGTAACATTGAACTTTAAGCATGAATTTTTTAATTTTGAAAGGCATAGATAAGCAACAGTTTTCATATAAACAAAATGGTAACCTTATGTATCAGTAGTTATCTCTAAAATAGCAAAAAAAAGGCAATTATAAGGACAGATAACTCAAGACACAAAGTAGGTGACTTCTATTATTGTAAAATCATTATTATTCTTGGGGAGCGAATTTACGTGGTTTTCGTGGGTAGGTCAATCCACAAATTTAAGATCCGACGAAATTTTATCCCAACAAATACTTCTTGCCGTGTCTCTATTCTATATATTACAAACATGCATCAGCGCTTTTTCTGCCGGTTTTTGTGCAATAAATTTATTGACAAGCGCTGTATGATACGTAAAGATACATGCGGTAAGTAAAATGCGTGGCAATTAAGTGTAAGATTACTTTGCATTAGGTTATTTATTTTATTTTTTTACAAGAAATTGAAAATCCACGAATTTAAGAACCCACGAAAATGCCCATTTTGATAAAACCACAAAATTTCATGTCCATGAATATAACTTAATATAAGTGAATTCGCAGTAGTACCATTTGAGATGTTTCAGCTATCATAATATTCAAAATGACAAAATTAAAGACACTAATAGCAAAGATAAGCAAATAACAAGCAAAATTTAGACATTTGTCCTTGAAGGTCAAGGTCATTTATGACTGAAGGTCAAGGTTAATTTGGCCTACTTGAAGGATTGTCCTTTGATCATGCAATGCTTTAATAAATTCTTTACATACTTTTCTTTTTGCCTATAATTATGGAAAAATTAAGCATATATACCTTTAATTCTTTTCCCATTTTTCATTTCCAGAACAAATGTTTACTTACTGAGAGTGGATGCAGTTTCTCGTCAAATATCTCCAATGTCCTCACATTAAATTTACTCTCGCGATTCTTTATATGAAAGTAGACGGCTAATGTCACAGCCTTGATTGTATTTTTCAGATTTGGTTGACTGACCGTCGAATCGTCTATATATATAGTCGAACAAGAGCTGTATTTTTTCAGCTTGCCATATGGGCACCCATTTATCTGCGACTAAAATATAAAAATAATTGTATGTTATCAAGTTATATATATAAAAATATTCAGATTTTTAGGAAGCAGCACACAGCTATACAGTGAATACCTTACATTCATAAAAATTGAGGTTCAATGAGGTTCAACTTTATTCATTTTACTGTAACAACAATTACTAATTTCATTCCCCCAAAACTGACAAAAATGGCCATTTTTTACAGAAGTCACATCAAACCTTAAATATGGCAATAATCAATAGAAAATATTTTATTAAATTCTTATGTAACATATTGACAGAACATTACTGCATAAAAAATAATAAAGATTTAATTAACAAGTACTTTGTTAAACACTGATTTGAGCTAAAGCAACTTAACATGAGTGAGACTGAAAAAATGTGTTGGGAGCACCACACTAAATACTGTATACACCAGACAAACACATGAATGATTAAATGTTAAAATCTCACTTTTTCACCAGCCAAAACCAACTTTAAAACATCAAACTCACTGTTCACGCTGATATTTTATACGATAATGAAAGAATAATGTCAGTGAAAAAAGTGATATTCTTCTACTTTGTGATCATGATTTCTGCAAGCATCTATAGGTCCTTCTTCAACACTGTAGTCAGTTAAATCTTCTGATGTCACAAGTGGCATAAAATAATAAATGAGCCGTGTCACGACAAAACCAACATAATGGGTTTGCGACCAGCATGGATCCAGACCAGGCTGCGCGGGCATCCGCACAGCCTGATCAGGATCCATGCTGTTCGCTTTTTAACTCTGTTACAAGTTGAGAAACTGATAGCGAACAGCATGGATCCTGATCAGACTGCGCGGATGCGCAGGCTGGTCTGGATTCATGCTGGTCGCAAACCCATTATGTTGGTTTTGTCATCACGCGGCTCATATAGATATAAATTTTAAGTGCGCCTTTGTAGAATAATAAAAGGTTCAGTAATATAATTTGAGCTAAGGCAAGTTTACATACCAACACATGGACATGGTCATCATACTGACTTCTTCTTCTTTTCTTATTGTCTAAAAATAGTAACACATGTACATTAATTTTAGGCCAGTTACTCAGTGTCACCACAGCTTCAACTATCAGACCAATAGATTCCCAATGACAAATATGCTTATTTCCCCCCAACTAATTAAATGGGGTCTCAACCATTTATTGCTTTTCTGAAATGACCAGAGTTGAGTCTGTTTAAAGCTTTTACTTAGTACATAAATATAAAGATACCTACTTACTTTTCACTTGAGACACAGTCAATGAATTTAAGACTTGGAATTTACCAGCCAGAATTTCAGTTTTGAATTTATTCTACTATATATTTAACTAAATTTTCTTAAAATTTTCACTGGCCATGGGCCACCGGACCAGACTGCAGACATAGTCAAATGGTCTTGTATTAGAGTCTTTTTTTCCCATATCTGTATCAAAATTTAATCTATGGGATATTATCAATAAGAAAACTTATAAATATTGAATTTTTTGATGACTGCCCAGCCTCTAGTTTATAAAGCATTTATAATTATAATTTTTACATAATAAATATTTAATGTGGATAGCAGACAATTATTTGGTCAATGACCAATATTCAATAATTATACGGCACATTTTATTTTTTTAATTATTATCACTCACTTACTTTTGTTAATCTCTATCTGTGACCGCCTGTAAAACATGGTCTTTTCTAAGGGATTGTTTGAAGGATCTCCTATGTTATCTGAAAAAAAAAAATCACGAAAAGATTTTATTTATTCACCTCAGGGTTCTCACTAGGACTTTAAAACATGGAGTCCATGGACTCCCAAGCCTGAAAAAGTTGGAGTCCAAAAGCGCGTCGCAAGTAATATGTTTACAGATTAATCATTCAATGCTCACAATAGCATTGCAAATTTCTTTAATCTTCAAGAGACTTCCAAAGTTTATAGTTATTCAAAAGAAACTCTGAACTACATAGTATAATTATTGTTTTGTTGTTAATATTTATTATGAAATTTTTTCATTATAATGCATTAACACATGGAAATCGGTTTTTTTTTCAATTTTATACCAAGTCAAATTTTATTCTAGTTAAATAAGTCCACTCTTAAGACAAAAAGTTTATATTTGTAAAAAAAACCGTAAATATATATAGGCAGCGTTTAGCGGAATGTATAGGAAAATCGTGTACAGCTTCACACAATGTGTAAGAGATTCATCCGATCGACAATTATTTTAGTAAATATCTTCAAAAGGGGGCAAATTGAAAATCGATATTTAAAGATTTAATGTTGATTAAATAATAAAAGAACAATTCATTCGCATGTTTGGTTTGGAAACTGAGAATTTTTGCGAAATTTTAGGGTTTCTGGCGAGAGTGAAATCGCCGATGTTCGGGATCAATTTTCGGATATCAAAGAATAGGGTTTGTGTATTTTGGTTTGTTGTCCTGGCATTTCGGCACAATATTTTAAATTATTAATACTCTTATAGAAAGTTTGAAATTAAAGCAAAATTGTGCCTAGAAAATGCTGAAAATATTCGACAATCATTCAAAATTACACTCATTTGAAATTTGAGAAAACAGTCTTTAAACTTGCGGCGTAAGTAGTCGATAATTTTATCCTTTTGTCGGTAAAATTTGCTTATTTCCAATCTACTGTTGATCAAAGATTTAAAATTATCACCTCGTGTTATATCTGGTAATTGAATGTACTGTACAGCGCGTGTATACATTAGTCTGATCACTATTGCGTGATAATGATCGGCAGCGTTATCGCTGATTGGCTAATCGCTTCACGGGTCGATGTGCATAGGACCGCCTACCTATAGACTGACACGCGCTGACGCATTTGTGTATTTGTGGTTGTAAACAATCGGTAATGTTTATGCGTCCCCAGGCAAAATTAAGCGTACGTGGAATCCTTGCTCTGAAATATTTGCGTCCAGCTGTAATAAATATGCGTACCGGGACGCCGAAATAAGCGTCCCCGAGAACCCTGCACCTGTACACACAGAATTACAGACAGCTGCAGTACAATGGCCAATCTACACAGAAAGTTTATGTTAACAGTTCAAAAATTTAACAAGAGTTATATTATAACAATACATATGTAACCCTATGGATTAATAAAGAAGAAAGAAAAAGTTCGTTTATGAATTAAAACCCGGAATTATGATTTCACCTGATCATGTAGATTTATTAATTACTGTTCTGTCACAGTTCAGTATTCAGTTTCAGGGTTCTCACTAGGACTTTAAAACATGGAGTCCATGGACTCCCAACCCTGAAAAAGTTGGAGTCCAAAAGCGCGTCGCAATTAATATGTTTACAGATTAGTTATTTAATGCTCACAATAGCATTGCTGATATTTTGAATCTTCAAGAGACTTTCAAAGTTTATAGTTATTCACAACAAACTCTGAACTACATAGTAAATTTATTGTTTTGTTGTTAATATTTATTTTAAAATTATTTCATTATAATGCATCAACACATGGAACTCGTTTTTTTATTTTTCACTTTCATACCAAATCAAATTTTATTCGGGTAAAATAAGACAAAAAGTTTATATTTGTTAAAAAAATGTAAATGTATATAGGAAGCGTTTAGCGGAATGAATAGGAAAATCGCGTACAGCTTCACACAGTGTGTAAGAGATTCATCCGATCGATAATTATTTTAGCAAATATCTTCAAAAGAGAGCAAATTGAAGATCGCTATTTAAAGATTTAATGTTGATTGAATAATAAAGGAACAATTCATTCACATGTTTGGCTTGGAAACTGAGAATTTTTGCGAAATTTTAGGGTTTCTGGCGAAGTGAAATTGCCGATGTTCGGGATCAATTTTCTGATAAAATCTAAATATTATATCAAAGAAAAGCGTATGTGTATTTTGGTTTGTTGCCCTGGAATTTCGGCACAAATCTCAAATTCTTAATACTCTTATAGAAAGTTTTTGCAGGCATAAAACGAAAGCAAAATTTTGCCTAAAAAATGCCGAAAATATTCGACAATAATCCAAAATTACACTCATTTGTAATTTGAGAAAACAGTCTTTAAACCTGCGGCGTAAATAGTCAATATTTTTATCCTTTTGTCGGTAAAATTTGCTAATTTCCAATTAACTGTTGATCAAATATATCTCGTGTTATATCTGTTAATTACACCTACAGCGCGTGTACATACATTAGTCTGATCTCTATTACGTGATAATGATCGAAAGCGTTATCGCTGATTGGCTAATCGCTTCACGGGTCGATGTGCATAGGACCGCCTACATATAGACTGACACGCGCCGACGAATTTGTGTATTAGTGGTTGTAAACAATCGGCAATGTTTATGCGTCCCCAGGCAAAATTAAGCGTACGTGGAATCCTTGCTCTGAAATATTTGCGTCCAGCTGTAATAAACATGCGTACCGGGACGCCGAAATAAGCGTCCCCGAGAACCCTGCAGTTTGGATTTTTTTTAAAGAGAACCAGCGCAAAACCTCTGTCACTGTGTTGTGGACACAAACAAACACCAAATACTGCTCTAAGAATAATATCATGCAATCTAAAGTGTGGTTCTACTTATATATGTAAAAATAAATTCATTTAGAGGGGCATCAGGCAGCACATTATTCTCATGCTGTCAAAATGCATATGGAAATTATACCTTCAGGTAGGTTTTCACGATCACTGATATGAGGCACCCCTGGTAAAGAGGAATAACTCTGCTGAATAGCTGCATGAGAAGACTCTTCTTGTTGACTAGAATGTCTAGCAGGTTGATACGACTCCTCCCTATTCTTCCTTTTAGAGCTTTTATAGCCGCAACAACTGTATTTATTACCCATATTTATATCTCAGTTTATCAAAGCTGACCTACAGCAATGAACTGCCGACAGTAAAGTTAGATGGCCTTCAATATTATGCCAGTAAATGCCACATTGTTTTTGCGCCCTTGTTTTTGTTCTAAACTAAAGCCTTCAACAGTTCAAAGTAAAATCACTCCTCCTTTAAATTTGATCTTATTATCCATACAAAAGCACCTTCAGTATTACAATATATAAGTACAAAAAACAGCACACTTCCTTGAAGATGTTTAATTTCAGTTTGAAATTAAAGTCACATGTTTATGTCAAAAATGAGAACATGAAGGGAACAAAACTCAGGGCATAACTTATGTAATCGTAAACATTTGCTTCAGTATAATTCGATTTTCTTTTTTTGGGAAAAAAACGATACAACAAGAAAATCCGCCGTAAGCTGGTAAGGATCCTCACAAAGGGTCAAGCTGTCAAAATTCTGAAAAGCCTCGATGTTTTGGTTTGAATACTTATTTAATTTCTATCCTATTATGCTTGGAAGAATGATTCAACGACAATATAATGTATAATGTTAAGGATTCAGTTTAATCTGATCTTGTGTATTTTTCTTAAGAAAAACTATCAAAATTTTGATTTTCGGCGAAAAAAGAATAACCGGAAGTCTGACTTTTTAGACGGGGTTAATACATTGAACAATTCTGATTGGTTATAAATCCGGATATCACCCTAAGGCAAATAAATACTGAGCAGTAATATTAAAGCACGCAAAGACTTTAATTTAGACGGATTTGATTGCCGCCATATGAACACATCTGCGGATGTTTCAAAATTCTTAATTTTACCAGTTCATGTTAAATGTTGAATTCTGCTTAAACCGGCGCTAGGGGGCGTGGACGGTAGTTTGCACTTGACAGTACCGTCCATGAACAGACTCAATCAAACCGAGCCTGCAACATTTTCAATTTTGCCGCGTTGGGCTTTCTTTAGGGATTCTTATTTCCTTCAAGGACTATTCACATACCAACTAAAGTCACTAAAACACGTCGAGACTTACCATGGTTAAATAAGTCCATTATTCGCAAAAATAGGAAACGTGATAGAACTTATTCAAACATTAAAAGGTCAAAGTCCCTATCAAATGATTTGGTCAAAAAGCTCAAAGTACTTAAAAGTGAAATCCAAAGAGAAACTAGGAAAGCATACTGGCAATACCTAGACTCTGTCATTTTTAGTCAAGACTCCCAAAATGTGAAAAATAAAAAATTCTACCAATATGTTAAAAGTAACAAAACTGAAAGCTGTGGTGTGGCACCCCTCAAATCAGAAGGTCAAACATTTACTGATCCAGTTGCAAAAGCAGATATCCTTAACTCCCAGTTTGAGTCTGTCTTTTCTCGGCCTCAGCCCCTTAATTTATCCCAGGCTTGTAAACAGAAGCTTATTCCAAAACACCACCCATCTATGTCAGAAGTGTCTATATCGGAAGATGGTGTGAAGAAACTTTTAAAAGGCCTAAACCCAAATAAAGCTTCTGGTCCTGACCAAATATCCCCTAGGTTATTAAAAGAGCTCCATCAAGAGGTTACTCCCATACTGACCCACATCTTCCAGATCTCACTTAAAACAGGTACTGTCCCAGAAGACTGGAAGCATGCAATAATTGCCCCAGTTTACAAAAAAGGCCAAAAATGCAAACCCAGCAATTATAGACCAATCTCCCTCACATGCATAGCGTCCAAAGTGATGGAGCACATCTTAGTGTCCAATATTATGACCTTTTATGTTAAACACAACATCCTTAGCCCCTATCAACATGGCTTCAGGTCAAAACGGAGTTGTGAGTCCCAGCTAGTAAGCTTCTCCCAGGAAATTCATGACAATCTTGAAAGTGGCCAACAAACTGATGTCATAGTCATGGATTTCAGTAAGGCATTTGATAAGGTGGACCATCACAAACTTGTGAGTAAACTAGAAAGATTGGGTATAAGCTATGAGGTTACAAATTGGGTCCATTCCTTCCTTAAGTCACGCTCTCAGCAAGTCCTAGTTGAAGGTCAAAAATCAGGTATACTACCAGTCCTCTCAGGCGTCCCCCAAGGCTCGGTATTAGGTCCCTGCCTTTTCCTTTCTTACATAAATGACCTCCCAGATAGTGTCAAAGGTAAGGTTAGACTCTTTGCAGATGATACTGTTGTCTACCTAACCATCAGATCTAAACAGGATGCCCAATCCCTCAAAGATGACCTCCATGCTTTAGAAACATGGGAAAAAGACTGGTCCACGGAGTTTAACCCTGACAAATATGAAGTTCTCAGGATAACAAGAAAAAGAAACCCTGTAATATTTCCTTATACCCTCCATAACATCCAACTAAACTCAACTCAAGAAGCGAAATACTTAGGAGTCACTATTAGTCAAGACCTTTCATGGACCAAACATATAAACAACATTACATCTAAAGCAAATAACTCCCTCAGATTTATTAGAAGAAATGTTAAAACCCCAAATAAAAAGATAAAGGAAACTGCATATAAGACCTATGTTAGACCTCAGGTTGAATATTGCTCCATAGTTTGGCATCCTTGGCAGAAATACTTAATTTATAAGATAGAGCAAGTACAAAGATCAGCTGCTAGATACATTTTTAATGATTATGACTATACAAGTAGTGTCTCAAAAATGATAAATGATCTAAATTGGCAAACCCTTGAACAGCGTCGAAACATCAGTGCTGTAACCTACTTGTATATAATCCAAAACAACATTGTTTTTGTTGACCACCAACACCTTACTCAAACAAGAAATCTGAACTACCTGATACCCTACTCAAGGACACAATATCATCAAAATTCTTTCTTTCCTAGGAGCATACGTCTTTGGAATAGCCTTCCTCTAATTGTTCAGTCTAGCCCCAGTTTAAACATCTTTACTGAGAGGCTTGACCCATTCTATAAATTCTATCTTTTAAATTAATAGTCTTGTAGTACTTTTATAGTTTTAACTTTTTAATTTGCATATAAATAATTTCTTTTATTAACAATTCCCTGACAACGCGCCTGCTAGTCATAATCAGAATTGATTGTTAAGCAGTATAATGTAGATGTAGATGTAGATTCTATTTTAATACGTCTTTAATTAAACCTCGGATGTTTATTACAGCATTATACGGTGACACAAAGGTGACATGTGTGTGTCTTAATTTATCTCGTGCGCACGAGATACTATGTCGTGGCCACAAGATAGATAGATACTATGTCGTGGCCACGAGTTACTAAGTCGAGGCCGTGAGATAGTTAAGTCGTGGGAACGAGATACTATGTCGTGGCCGCGAGTTACTAAGTCGTGACCACGAGTTACATAGTCATGGGAACTAGATAGTTAAGTCGTGGGAACGAGATACTATGTCGTGGCCACGAGTTACATTGTCGTGGACACGAGATAGTTAAGTCGTGCGCACGAGATAATTAGCTAATCAGATTACACTGGTGTCACCCCGGTAGGATATTAGACCGTGCCCGTTGTAGAAAGTATTTCTTTTAAATTTTGAAGTGGCCCATTTCAAGTCATCCTTGGTAAGACTGATTACATTTTAAGTATATTTTTTACAAATGTGTACATGAAGTTTCATTTCTGAGTACTTTGAATGTTGTTTTTTGTGTATCTTTGCAGGATTTCATTTCTTGGTGGAAGGTTTCAGGAAGTAGCATGCGCCAGTCTAGACCCTAGTTGTTATTTGGTTTATTTTATAGTGCTAACACAAATTAAAAGCTGCAGAAAAAGTCCAAGGGCTAATGTATTATTTTTTGTGCTAAATTTAGTTGGATAGTATTGTTATTGAAAGTTTTAGCCACCAAATGCCTGTACGGGATATGCTGTGTTGAGAATTTAGTCTTAGATGTGATGGATTTACTATAGGATATATAGTACGAAAATTCAGTGGGCCGTCTCCATTATGATTTGTTTAAAGATTTACATGCAGCATTTATCTTTGAAAATACTAAAGTGTTCACTCTAAACTTGATACATGTCTTTAGGATAATATTAGAAAGTCACCTTCTAAAGCCCATCAATCAGACATTAATTTTGACTAAGTTATAGTCCGTTGTTGGGACAATTCTATGATAGAATTGGTCAGTTTGTACGTACAATGGCCTGCTAACTTTGTTTATTCGATAACTTTAGAAGGAACTAGTCCTTGTTTATTTTATTTGGTAGGGACATTGCTCATGGACAGTAGATAGCCAATATGGATGTTTGAGGTCAAGGTAAACATTACACTTCATGTAAAATCCTTGTCTGATGAATGATTAAGAAGGAATAAGCCATAGGTTATTAACTTTATATAACCAAGAAAGATTTGTAGATGACACCTAACTATTTTGAGGCCATTGGGTCAAAAATCAGGTTCACAAGGACGCTTAATCATTGACCAATCAATAACTTGTATCAATGGCACTTTTACAGCCAGGTGAAGTAGGGGCATCCTTGTACTATAGCACATGCTTGGTTAATTAGGAAAATTTATATAAATAGTGTAATCTGATTGGTTATTTATCTCGTGCGCACGACTTAACTATCTTGTGGCCACAACTTAGTAACTCGTGGCCACGACATAGTTTCTCGTCCCCACGACATAGTATCTCGTTCCAACGACTTAACTATCTCGTGGCCACGACTTAGTAACTTGTGGTCACGACATAATATCTCGTGCGCACGAGATAAATAAAAACACACATGTCACTTTTGTGCCACCTTAAAATTAGGCATCTCTTGATATTTTTTTTAATGTAGATAATACAAAATTTATCATTAAAGATTAAGAAATATATATTTTCTTTTTTTTGTCAAATAATTGTGCATATTTTTATTATTTCCTTTCTTTCTTTTTCATTTTTTTTACCATCACCCTCCACATTTATTGAAGCCAACAAATCAACGCAATCCACACCCTCCACGCAGTCTAAACTCTTTCACCAAGCCTATATATCCATTCAGCATACAACTGTTACTCAGCCCAAGAATCATAAATTAACCTCATCTTCCTTCCACTTATTGTAACAACCGGTATCCCTTTTTCATTTCCTTTTCTATTGTCTTTTGCTCAGCTAAACAAGTATTACTTCATAAGCCAAAAGACCAACTCAGCCCACATCTTGCACTTTTTTGGTCAGAAATAAAGCGTTTTATGACTGAAATAAAGCCTTTATAGATACAACAAAAATTTATGACAGAAATTAAACACTATTTTATGACAGAAATCAATCATTTCTTTAAAAGAAATCAAGAATTTTATGACCGAAGTGAACATTTTTATGACGGAAATCAAGAAATCCTTAAACTAAAAATCAACTTAAATCAAGCATTTTTTGGACGGAAATAAAAAAATCTGCAAAGCAATTTTTATGACATAGATTTTCTTAGCATTTCATTGACATAAATCAGGTAGTTACATTTTCTATAACGGAAATAAGACGTTTCTATCATTTCTTTAACGGAAGTCAGGCATTTCTATAACATATACATTTTATGTGACATTTGAAGGAACATAAAGCTGGCAATTCTATGACGAAAGAACAAAAAAAAAAAAAAAAAAAAATCAGACATTGTTGTATCTCTAGTTCTCAGGTCTAAAAATTAAACTTTTGAAACGACTTTCAAAAATGCATATAAATGTATATTTCGCAAATAAGCACTGTACTCTAAAACTAAAATTAAATGGAATTACTGTTGGTGGATTTCACTTAAATTTAACATGGTCTTGTTTTAAATATAAAAAAACAGTAAAGGATTGTATGCTTTATTTGGAAAATGTAAATATATTTTCATTTATTACGCCCACTTCAAGAAACAAGGTAAGAAATAATGAAATAATACCCTTATGAAAAAAAAATGCTAACTTGTTTTCCACCCAGGAATGCCTAAACTCTTCTCCACCTACCCTATTTTGAAACCGTTCCCACAACCCACCCCCTTTGCAAAAAAAACCCTTTCCAAACCAATTCCCGTAATAGACATCAAATTTCACAATAAAGACAAAAGAAAGACAGGCCCCCACAAAAACAACAACAACAACAACAACAACAAAATAAACAAGTTAACAAACAAACAACAAAACAATTTCTATCTAGTAAAACAACAACCACAAAAAACTAAACCCCAAAAATCATGTAAACATAGTTTTAGGTTACTTGAATTAAATCAAGAGAGTCTGTATTTTTTTATCTCTCAAACTTGCGTACACGTTAAAAACCTTTTTTGGGGGTGGGGGTGGGGGGGGGTAAAAATAACAATAAACAAAAAAAAAATACAACAAAAAAAACAAAACAGTAAAAAACGAAGCATGCTCTACTTAAACTACAATTTTTCTTTAGTTGATTATGTTTGAAAACTACGATATGGATAAAATTCAAGTGTGATATGTCTAACATCTGTTCTGTTAAAACGTGTACTTCCATTAACTGCAGTTTCTGTTTTAACGATTTTCCCACGATAGTGATGTAAAAAAGAAAGAGAACAAGAAACTACGGAATCAAGTAAGTGTCACACTCGATTTCGCCTCGTGAAAGCGAAATTCAGCATTCAACAAACGACTCGACGCACACCATCGCATTGTGACACACGGCAATGTGTAATGTCATACAAGTTGTAGCTATTTTTTGGGGAAAAAACTAAACTTAAGAATCGTTTATTATCATTATTATTGTTGTTAAATGTTAAGAAACATTAAAAAAACGCCTGACAAACAGTTCAAATATTAAATCCTACTATTACATTGCAAGGTCGTACGGTCGAAAGTTGAAATTTAAGATTGATCTTACCGCATTTCATATGATAATATAATATCAGTCATATGACACTGTTCGGATCCGAAGATTTATCATGAGGGATCTGAATTGCATGTTCTTCCATATTCTCTCGTGGTTTTCTCTTTCATAGAAATTAATGTTATTTCATTCGTAACTATTTTTTACAATAGCGTATAAATTTACAACTTTATTCATAATGTTTCATTATGTTTCATGGAACGTTATCATCCTATCGTATGATCCAGATGAATCGAGTGCTTTAAAATGACGTCATTTTAGCGCATTTTATGAATGAACTGTGAAAAAACGGTAATTTATTGCACATAACATGGAAATTATTACTTTTATCTTGAACCTTTTTGCTTTTTTTAAGACCTAAGTACATTTTTCAAGTTTAATTATCTTGAAATATTTTGGCTCAGACATGCAGCTTTAAAGCAACTTGCCCCTCGGGTGATCCAAAAATATTCCAATAAATTCAAACTTAAGAAAAAATGTACAAAGATTTTAGGAAAAGTGAAAGATTCAAGATTCTAGTAATAATATGCATATTTTGTGTGATTAAATTAATGACTTATTTTTCAGTATTTATAACTTTATTTGTACTGCGTTAATAACGCAGTAACGGCTTTTTTTTGCATATTTTGACCTTTTTTGGTAATTTACGATGGTTGCAAGTGCCACTGATAATGTGTAAATTGCTGCCTTTTGTTTACTTAACAATATTATACTTTTAAATACATTTTTAAAACTTTCATGAAAATTTATATGAATCTAGAGGCGTGCTGCTTTTAAATATGCATACATGCAGCATCACGCATATCTACTTACAATCTGTTTGTTGTTTGTTTTGTAACTGGCAAAATTTCTCTGATAATTCCAAATAAAAATACGATGATTTATTGCATGACTCTGTCTGGAGCTTATATAAGCAATCATTTGTTTACAAGTTTATGCTCATCTAAAGCATGCATCTAAAATGGAAGCATCAATCATTGCCAAACTGATATGTAACTTGCCAGAACACAGTATTCTCTTTTATCGTTACCGTTATCAGGCAATTAAACGTAAATTTGTTGCGTTGGCCTGTTTTACCTTCTGCTTGAAAATGAAATAAGAAAGACGTAAAACACCACTTTAACATTTGAAACACACGCATCAAGTGGATTTCGTATTTTGAGCGTATTTAAATGTTCATAATTATTGTTGTTCAAAGACGTTTTAATCTAAACGTTTAATTATACTTTTAAGATATTCTGAGAAAAATATTAATCCAAAGCAAAATATAATGGGGAATGCCGTGAAATTTTTCTGTCTTTTATCGTTATTTGTTTTAATGGTGGATACAAAAAGGAGAGACAGATTTGATATCATCGAAAAAAGAATTGGTGTAATTGAAACACGATTAAATTCTGACAACGACTTGGCAGAGGAATTGATATGGTCATTACAACAAAATTTTGAGGAATTTAATAATTCTATGATCAATCTAAAGGATCAAATGTGTCCCAAAGCAGATCAACGGTCGGTACAAAAGGAACAAACTAATTCTGAAAAAAGTGTTGAAATTCTAAGGTCAAGCCGATTACTAGTGTCGTTAGGACTTAAAAAGGAGAAACAGTGGACAAGGGATAAAGTGGAAAACCTTACTACTCAGATGGGCGAACATTCCGATCTGTTAGACAGACAGTTTTTAGACCTAACTACTCAAATAGGTGAACATACCGATCGGTTGGACAGACAGTTTTTAGACCTGAAAAATCAGATTAATTTACACACTGACGAGTTAACGAGGAATTACTCGAAGCTTAGAGCTGACATTATTGACAAAATTGAAGGAGAGAAACAATGGAAAAGAGATCAAGTGAAAAAACTTACCAGTCAAGTGAATGAACAAACTGATCAGCTAACCAATACCTTTTCAAAACTCAGAACTGAATTAATAGCTTCGAAAGAAGAAATGGAATCCAAACTAAATGTTAGCAAAATAGAGATGTTGATTAGTGAACAACTGAAGGAAATTGAAACTATAAAGGAAACTCAAACTAAAATTGTAAATACTTTAACTTCCTACACATGTCCACCGGACTGGACAAAATATTCATCGTATTGTTATTTGTATGTTAATAAGAAGAAAACGTTCATTGAAGCTCGTGCCCATTGTAAGCTTCTAGGAGCAACCGTGTCTGACATTGAAAATGAAGCTGAAAATACTTTTATCACAGGTTTAGCTGCTAGATCATGGACTTGGGTTGGTATTTTTAATGAGGAGGGAGAGGGTCATCTAATTTCAGAAAGAACGGGTCAACCTGTATCTTACACGTAGGTTTATATGACTATCTTAACCTCTATTCAAGTAATTAAGTATATCTATAATAATTTGTAATAACTTTGATAGTTAAATAACGTCAAAAGAAACTAGTTGTGTTGTGTTGCTTTGCTTTAAGAAAACGACAAATAAAGGCATTAAATAACCTTCCATTTGGTCATGAAAACCTCAGAAAAATGAAAATACTCCAAAAATAAAGGGTAACAATCTGCTGCACCAGTTACTTTCTATTTGGATTGAAATTTGACATATCGTAAAAAAGGTGCACTATAGTTTCATTTGAGGATTTGATTGAACAGTTATTAAAATAGTAATTTAATTTTATTATATTTAAATGCACAATACAAAAAAAAATATTCTTTCATTTTGAAAAAACTGCCGTTGAATCCGGTAATTTTCACAAAAACCTGGCGGTCACATCTCTGTTGACCTGCACTTGCGGTGACTTCGAAATTACATATCTTCTTATAACTTGAAAGCATTGTAAATACAGCTTTATTTCCTTAAAGAGTAAACAATTCTTTACAATTTGGTACCAAGATTTTGAAATTTGGTTAAAAATGTTGCAGTTAAGATAAGTGCTGGAGAATGAGCGTGAACATATCATGTAGCACTGAATTGTTCTATCTGTTTGACAGTTTGTTTGTATTATTTTGTTTTACGTCACACCGACACAGTAGAGATTATATGGTGACGTTCCAGCTTTACTGGTGAAGGAAGACCTCAGGTGCTCTTCCGTGCATTATTTCAGGCACGAATGGGTACCTGAGTAGAACCACCGACGTTCCGTAAGCTAGCTGGATTGCTTCCTCACATAAAAGAATTCAAAGTCCATGTCGGGATTCGAACCCACAGCGGTGAGGGGCAAGTGGTTTGAAGTCAACGACCTTAAACACCCTGCCACGGACGCCCCCATCTGTTTGTCAGGGGAGTAGTGTGAAGCGTGTTAGAATAGTTTTTTTGTTTATTAAACTTGGAATACTTATATACATACGTCGGTAACTTTAATTTGATTCCAAAATCAATATTTGAAAGGTCATTCAATTTATCAGATGAGTTTTGATGTATATTTACAAAATGATTTTGTTTATTTCAGTCAGGCAATCCGCCACTAAAATAACTAAAATACGGATGCATTCATTATGACTTGTCATGAAGAAAAACCATTGCCATTTATTAGGTTAAAGCATAAAAGTAAATTGCTTCAAAGTTGTGAATACATGTACCAATATACACGGCTTACTAAGCTTAATGATAACAAACATGCTAGTTTTGTCAATGCAGTGCTTAAGCATAAATTTGTCAAAGAAGAACTAGTTTTCATAATTACTGATTATCTAGATTTTCATTTTCAGAAACTTCGACAATATTCGTGTTGTTGGGTACAATTGTGTTGCGATAAACGGATATTATCCAAAAGGTACCTGGCGTGAAATTTGGTGTAGGAAAAGAGTGAAATTCATCTGTAAAAAAGATGTCATGATAGATTTCAAGTCTGTTTGATTCAAGGTTTGTTTGTATCATTTTATAATTATAATGCGTATGAATAAATCTAAATAACATGATCTTTACCTATAGTTCTTTATAATGTTCAACCATAAAATTTCAATCTTTATGGAATTTAAAGGAACATGAATATTTTTCAGTATTCTAGTATTTCAAAAACCTTTCTATTAAGCTTTACATTTTTATTACATACTTCATGTCAATGTATAGAAACAGTATGGACCAGGTGAAATATTTGGTAAAGACCGTTTTTCTTGTACACAGTATAATATTTAATGACAGGTTTTTTTCTAAGTGTTTATAAATCAGCGATATTAATTAGTTGAACTGTAATATTTATTGTATTTTTAAAAAAGAAGTGTAGAACTGAGAAATAAATATGTTTGTGAGTTAACTAACACATATTTGAATCGCGAAAAAATCCGATTTTCTTTTTGTGGGAAAAAACGATACAACAAGAAAATCCGCCGTAAGCTGGTAAGGATCCTCACAAAGGGTCAAGCTGTCAAAATTCTGAAAAGCCTGGGAGGGTTTTGGGTTTTGAAACTTTTTTTAATTTCTATTCCTTTTAAATGTTT